GGGGGAAGGGGTTGTGGGAGAGAGGGAGAGACAGAGCGTAAGAGAGAGGGACTTTTTTTTCTTTTTTTTTTTCTTTTTTTTTTCAGTTTTTTTCAGTTTTTTTCTTCAGACTCGAAAGGACGTTTTTACCCCTCATTTTGACGGACAAATTGACAGAGTTGGACGGCACGTTTTTGCCCCTCATTTTGACGGACAAATTGACAGAGTTGGACGACAGGACCTAATTGCAACTGATTGTCTAATTAAAGGATGTTATTACCACAAAAATTAGTTCGCGGACCCAATTGCAACTGGGGCCATAATTCACGGACATCTACAGTAATTAACCCGGAAAAAAAATATCCTAAAACTACATTTCCTGTTCAGATTATATAAAAATCAACCTGAACACGAGAAAGAGACAATGCAGCAAAATTAACAAAAAATGTGAATCCGTATTAGAGTTAATTAATAGTCTCTACCAATTTGGTATGACATGACCTGAACACGACACAATTCGATTATCAAATTGCCAATGCAACTAGTCGAGGTGAGCAGAGGGGAAAAGAAGAAGAAAAAACTACATTGCACAAGAAAATTACAGCTTTTTGCTATCTATTTAAAGTTAAATCTCTGATCCATAGGGCACCATGCAGTAACATTTGATAATTACAAAAATGGCAACGATCAGTAGGTCAGAATGAATGAAGCCCAACCAAAGATGAAATAACCCCAAAAAAAAGAAGAAAAAAAAAGACTTCGTCACACAACAACTCTAATGTTGTAAAACTTTCTAATTAGGCTATATTTATGTCAGCTAGACTGCTCCACACTTGGAAGGACTGTCGACTGGATGTTTGATTTATGGGGCAGACCAGCAACCTGCTTTAAGGACTTGTGCCTTTCCTCCCCCTGTTGGGAAGGTAATTTCTCCGGCCGGATACGAGTTTCATCTAACTCCTGTTCTGGCTTCCTCTTCACCTTCTTCTTTGTCAATGCACCATCACCTACCCTCGCATCGTCTGGGGAATTGCTTGAACTTCCCTTCAGTTTCTCTTGTTTAAGCCTGTCAAAGCTGGGACCATTTATTGGACTGGGTGTCCGCACAGCTGCTGCTGTACCAGATACCGCCTTGTTTGTCAGACTATGACTGCTAGGTTCAGTTGCCAATCTCTCTCGCATATATTGTTGCTGGGCAATTGAACTCGCCTCAACTCGAACGGTCTCCTCTGTTCTTGGTGCCAACATCTCTTTCCTCCTCATTTTCTCCTGATCCTGTAGAAAAAATTCAACAAATAAATTTTCCAGATATAAATCAACATAAAGAACTACTACTACCTTCAAATTTATATCAGATCATGCATGGAATTGAAACCCGTATGTTTACATAGAGCATAACCCAGCAGACTGTCATGTTAGTTCAACATTGGCTCATCAAATATCCAGACCATAAAATGGTTATATGATCAACTTCATCCCATACAAGTTGGGTAACTTCAATGTCCACAACAATCATGAAAATCACTATGTTTTTGGGTTGAAGGAGTTCGCAACTTTACATACTTTATTTCGGCCATATCGCTCCCTCCTTCTTTCTTTTGACCGACAAATTGCACGTTTGATCCCATGGTTGTCCATGAAACCATTTGGCCACAATCCTGCTAGCTGAATCATATGAAGACTAAACAAGTCAGGAAAGCTTCATACATTTAGGTGATTACAAAAGCTTCTAAAAGAACACTTTCAGAGATGTACCGTTACTGGTTGAAAGTTGCTATGTTGAATTCAGATATTACACCTTCTCTTTGTGAAAGAAAATATTACAGTTGTTCAAAACAATGAATTCGCAAACGAAAAAATGGCACAGAGAAGAGGGGGGCCAGAGAGAGAAAGAGAATAGGCACTTGTAGTTCAAATTCAAGCATTTAAGTGAAACGACCAAAAATTGAACTGCAAAACCCCAGTACAGCAGTAAGAAGCATCAAATCCTAGATCTACTGCTTTCATGTTACATTGCAGTTCGTACAGAAACTTTAAACAGAACATGTTGGAAGCTACAAGAGAGCCCAGGCAACACAAACCATAAAACAGGGGGAAAACAGTGAAAAAGGTGAAGTACCTCAGCATAGAGCTTTCTTATTTGGGGACCTGCATCTTCATCCAGCCCCTATAACCAAGAAATAAAGACCAGGGAATCAGACTACAATAAAGGAAGTTATCTGCAAAATAAAGGAACAAAATTTTCAATGACAGAATTTGCAAGCTTGAGTCAGTACATCAACAAAAAGGTCATAGAGGTCACAAATCTTATCCTCCAGTGCAGCATCCATGCTAAATTTTCTTTTAGAAAGTTCTTTGGCTCCAGAGGAAATTTCTTGAAAATCATCTGATGCTCCCAATTGTTGTTGCAATGCCTGAAAACATATTATGCACTTTGCATTAGAGCCACATACAAAGGTTATTCTTATTACTCTTTCCATTATGACATGGTGCAAGCATCACGAGGGGGAAATGGAAAAATAAAATAAATGGTTCAGAATCTTCTTGCAACGGAACAAATATGAAATATCTTCCACAGAAGGCAGCACTTAAAACATGAGTTACTGAAAAAACCACTATTCCATTTGCAGCAAAGATAGGGAAGTAACAATGAAGAAAGGATGGTTAAAAAGATATAAAGTAAAATAAATAATAATCAAATCAAGAGCAAGTAATGTAAGATGACGTGGTCAAAAGTGACAAAGACAAGCGAACAACCAGAAGTGGAAAGAAAGCTGGGGAAACCAGGTCAACATAAGGAATGTAAAGAAAGAGGCCCTGTCTCATGACCTAGCAAAAGCAAATGCCCCATGAAAACAAAAGACGGTGGTCAAGAGCAACAAAATTATTGACAGAAATATCAAGAGAAAGCAAGCTGGATGATCCATGAGAACAAGGGGAATACTAATTGAACAGATGTAGCATACCGAAAGGCATAATGGCCGCTGATTTAGTAGGGAAAATGACAAAAAGGATGCCAAATCATGACTTTGTATTATCTGGATACCAATATCTTTTTAACAATGATGATAGTCAATATGATTATTCCAGTTTTGTAAATCACTTCTATCCAACAAAAAAGACATAGCACTTAAAACACCACACCTCAGTAAGGCCCTGCTACACATACCTTGGACTCCGAAGATGGGGCCTTTATCTTAATCATATCTATAACTTCCCTCTTTATCTGTTGAAACCTGTCATCTTTCTCCTTTTTAGCTGAAAGACCCATACTAATCATGACCTTCAAGTTTCTCTACAGGAAAAACACATTGCACAACCATAAATAGCCTAGCAATTTTTTTCATAAACAAGAAGTCTAGATACTTAACAGCCAAGAGAAATAACAACCCTCTAGAGCAGCGTTACTGTGTTATATGTCATATCTTATTCATGATAACAACTGCATTTATTCATCCATAGTTAACATAAAAACATCATTTACATAAAAGGAAATCATTCTACCACTTACCAGTTATTAAAAAATTATTCATGTCAAAGTAAAGAGCCAGTAATTACAGTAAATTGCTGTTTAACTCATAACCCAAACAAAATATACCAACGGTAAGACTGTAATACAATCCAACTATTGTATAAAAAGTAATTTACACAAACCACATAAATTATCCAAAAGCTTTCCTCAACTGATACAAGAGCCAGTGCTCAAAGATAAAGTGATAGAAAGAGTATGAAGGGTTCATATATTTGTCGAATTGCAGCATTCTTTGTCACTAAGTTCCAGAACAATAAGCAAGCATAATTTTAAGTTTAGGTCCTGCACCTTAAATTACATATAGTTCACAATTTAAAATTTAAGGAGCAGGTATAGAAAGGCTAAAGCTTTTCTTCAAAATGAATTGTGATACCTTTAATGTTCTGAGTTGTATTAAGTGACCGAGGATATTCATAAGCCGGTTGAGTAACTCTTTCGTTATTTTCCCATGGCTAGCCTGCTGCAACAAAAAGAGCATTTATATTTAAACTTATTACAGGTTTCAAGTTGAGATGTGAATATGCATTCAAGTTTGTGAATACGATGATTTAAATAAACCACAACACCAAGAGTTAAACAGTTACAATCAAAATGGCTTTTCAGAATACCGCTAGTCTAGCAACTTTAGCAAGTTTCGCCTTTATTTCTCTAGGCAATCTCCTTTTAATTGCTTGGGATAAATTATCTGCGTCTTGATTATCCGCAGCAGGTGGCCTAGCTGTAATTGTACACAGAAGAACAGATTATTTGCAAGGAGCTTCCTCAAATCATCATCTACAAAGCATAGAGAGGGAACTGGAACAAACCCAAAATATCATTTAAAACAAAAGAAGAAGAAAAAAATTCAAAGGATGAATATAACTTACATTCTGCAACCATCTTCTCTAAGTCCGTAATAGCCTTTTCAAGCATTGAACTTTTTGACCTTACACTAGAACTATCCCTTTTGTGCCCATGTGAAGGTTTCTGCAAAATGTTAATGTTCAAAATCAAAACTACCATCATTGAGAAGAAAAAAAGTTAGGAAAATATGCAGATGCTGATCCACTGGTATCAAAGAGAACCTTAAGGGCAACCTCAATCTAATACCCTTGAATAAACAAGACTATAAATGTTCAACATCTGAATACCTGTAAGTTTAAACACCTGTATTTACGGACCCTGGATTCAGGATATATGGATCACAATGAAGCCTTGAATGCAAGCTTGAAGCAAACATGATGCTAGTGCAAGCAATTTACTACCAAACAGATATCCACCTCTTCCAAATAAACTAAAAACGCAAAGCCCATGCCTCACGTGCCTCACTATATTTTTCGTTTTATCTTGAGATATAAATGCAAATCATGATTAGGATCTTGTTCTTGCCTTTTTACAGAAACTTGACCTATAAAAAAGATATCTTTTATGTGCAATACCTTCATGGTTAAGGTCTATCAATTGTGAGGAAAAAGGATTCTGCCATTATTTTTCATCTTTTTTATTTCCTCTTCTCCTTTTATTTCCACAGTCAAAGCAGTCTCTCTTGCACACATCTTGTGTACTTGGGGTGCCCCTTACAAACTGTTTAATATTTTTTTGAAAAATAAAATTAAACAAAAAAGAGAGGATACATAATTGGAAGCAAACTCAAATCTTACAGAATGATTAGAGCATAAAGCAGCAAGCAACCCATGTCAACCCTCTCTAGAAATTTAGCAATTGGCAAAAGGCAATAACTGAAATGAACCTTTTTGCTACTTGACCTAATGGAAAATATCACTTCCATCAATATGCACTTCAAAGGAGATCGATAGCAAAACTTCCTCCAGTTTCTTTTATCTCCTCTTTAGATTTCTACTTGTGTACTCATCTTACACCCCTTGACATATTTCTAGCGCATTTTATTATGTATCTAATAACAATAACAATAAAATGATCAATATATAATATTACTCACTGTTGTTGGAACAGCGTACTTTCCATCAGTGAGATTAAGGTCTGGAATTTCACAAACCCCATTTTTCTCTCTGGCTCGAACTGTTTCCATCTCATCAGCATTGCTAGATGGTCTCCCAGATTGGGGTTTGGTTTGCACGTAAGCACTTTTCTCATGGTATTTCTGATATGAACCATCAGAGGATCCACCTGCATCTTTAAATCTGTTACTTGGGTCCTTTGACAACAGGACTCCTGTCTTCTGCTTATCCATATCCTTCACCTCCGCTTGCAGTGCGGCAGCATCTCCCTCAGAAACTTTCAAAAGAGAAGGATCCAGAATTGTTTTGGAATCAGTAGACTTCTTTGTGGATGAAAGTCCACAAACATTCAACTGGTTATGAAATTTCACATCTTCACAGTGTTCAGTGGGTACAGTGACGGTTAGAATGGGAGCAGAAGAGTTCTTTGCAAGTGTCGATGTAATCTTTGCTGCTGCTGCTGTCTTACCAACTTTTGCGTGTTTATTTGGCACATGACTATCATCATTTCCTCCAGGACCCTTTGCCTCTTTTCTTCGCCTTTTCTTTGGTTGTTGGTTAGGTAATGCAGCAGGTACGCTACTAAGGACGAAAAATTCAATAAATGAAGAAAATGTCAAAATTTAACTAATAAAACACCACAACGTCGAAAACCTAAGTATGAAACTGAAATTGATTTCAATCATTAGGCAAACTGAATTCCTCCATTGATGTATTACGTAGCAAACACCAAGCATATCTTCTCATGTTCAAATTATTTAAACACAAGCAAATGGGTCAAATAGAAACGGCTGATACCACTGATCAACCAGGAAAAGAGACAGAGAAAATTCTAGTGTTTGAAAAACATCTATGCCTTCAAATCCCTACTGAAACAGACAACATACAGTCCATATAAAATTCCACACATATATATAGCCAGTAATCACAAGTAGATCAAGGTAGAGAACATTTGACATTCCATCTGTTCTGTCAAATAACACCGATGGTTTTATTTTACCATCACTTTTATGTACTCAAAAGATAAACCTTGTTAAAGTCTAGACTTCCATAGGCCATACATGAATCATGGTGGCCACTTGAAAGGAAATATTAATATGACCTTGTTGAGTTCCAAATAAAAGAAGAAAATTCAGTGAATAAAGTACAAACTCTTGTATGTATAGACTATGCAATTAAGAAAAAAAAAATTATACATAAATACAATCAGGTCCTTGTTGAGTTCCAAATAAAAGAAGAAAATTCAGTGAATAAAGTACAAACTCTTGTATGTATAGACTATGCAATTAAGAAAGAAAAAAATTATACATAAATACAATCAGGCAAATGATTGAAGGAAACTTACATGCGTTCCAGTTTCCCCCTGTTAACAAAGAATCCATCATGTTTTATTGCTGAATTGTCAACTTCAAAATACTCATCCTGCACAACACATAATGACGGAGCATTTGCAAAGCCATAAATATAAAATAACGTTCGTTCAACAAGAAGAATGCCATCAATTAAATCAGTACAATGGCCAACACAAATATAAAACAATAAGATTTATGAATAAAGGCACCTACCAACTCAGCATCATCAATAAAAGAGTCTTCTGTATCATACTGATCGTCATCAGGAATATCATTTAGATCTTCATCATCACTACTATCTTTACCCTGAGACATTCAATGAAACGGATTTGTAATAAATATAACACATTTTTTATTTAAACAATAAAATCTGCTTGATAGCAAAAACCAAAAAGTGACATATTAATAAATAAGAGCTACCATATAGAGGCGTTCAATCTTCTCAATTACAGCGCTAAAACGATGTGGCGCAGCTTCATCTTTCACTTCATCTCCTGACAGTTGTTGTACCTGAAAAATGTGAAGCACAATTTAACTAAGAAAAATCATCATAGTGCATGGTACAAAAGGCACGTTGAGGGGGGCAAATTCATACTGTGCATATCTTTTAGGCATAAAATCATGATAAACACTCAACCCTTTTCCATTATAATCTGATAGACAGTCATGATATGGACTTGAGTCCATTGAAATAATGCCCAGTGTAAATGATAATCTTGATTATGAAAAATGCATTGCATTCATCCTGCATTCCCAGCTTAAATTTCTACTCTATTCTGAAAACAAACCATGAGTTTTTGAGTAACCAAAGGACCAACTAAGCATCCACAAATAAAAGTTACAACTTACAACTGCAAAGTACATAACTAGAAAGAGCACGTCATTCTAAAAATAGTCCTGCAAACCATTTTCACAAATGCACTGAAGTTCTACCAAAAAACCAAATTACATAAACTGCAGCTAATGAGCAAATCTTAATTGCATTACAAACAGAAAAAATCAACACAAACCCAAATACGAACCCACATGAAAACAATGAACAATTCACAAAAGTACCAACTTTCTTTTTCTTTCTTTTGAATTGGAGGGTCTCACCGGAGCTATACGAGACTCGAGAGCTGGGTGAGCGTTGGCGGGAGGAGGCTCAGGAGCAGAACTGGTAGACGGCCCATTGACCTTGTTCGTATCTTTCAGGAGCTTCTTCCAGGAGACTATGGTGGTCTCCCCGGGTCGGAGCTCTACTGTGAACATTTGCCGGTCACCGGCTTTCACAAACTTGGACGAAGCCCTCGACGATTCGCCGCCGCCCTTCTCTTCCTCCATTGAACTGACGAACCCGGTCGAGAATTCTAGGGTATTCGGATCGACGATTCGATAATTAAGATTGGAGAAACATTGGGGACCAGGTAAGCCCTAGAGGGCAAATTGACTCTAGAGAGAGAAGGAGACGGGAATTTAGAGAGAGAGAGAGAGACAAAGAGGAGAATGGAGATTGGGCGGGACAGAGGGAATCTTTTCGAGGAAGGGATTTTAACTGAAATTTCTCTACTGGGTCATGGAAAAATTTTATCCTCCTTTCCTTTCCGAGAAAACGAAAGAGGGAGGGAAGAGGATCGGACGGGTAAAAGATGTTGCGGGCCGGATCCGAACCCGGCTCAGAATTTTAATACAACGGCATGAACTACTATGAACTGTGATATGCATCTGTGGAGCTTACGGTGGCAGTTTATTTCAAGTTTTTGTTTTTCCATCTGGTCCATTGAATCAGACATCCAAGATAAAAATCTCATCCATTGAATCAGAGATGCATCTTATTGGTTTATATTTAGTTTTATTTTATGTAATCAATGAATGAATGAGCAGCCAAATTTATGGCCTCTAATAATTTTGACGAGATAATATTACTAAAGTAAGAGTTAGTTGATATCTATGAATCGGCGTAATCTAAACTAGATTCAATTTCATCTCAAACGACACACATAAATTGAACCATCCCATTTGGTGATTGGTTTAGTTTATACTCAATGATCAATTTGACCTCCAAAATGGAGTAAAAACCTTAAAACACAAACAAACATGCTTGCATGTAATTTTTGTATCTACAAGCAATCGAGTTATACATGTTTAATGTGGATCTTGAGTTTTTGGATTTACAAATTATGCATTTTTTTGGCATTTCGTTTATTCTAAATTATTATAACAATTTAATGGTCTTGTTGTCACATTATTTAGCATAATCTTAGCAAAATGTAACTATTAATATTAGGTTATTTGATGCTGCAACAAGTCTAATAATTAGATTGTTGTCATGGTAAATCCGAATATGTATATAATATATGTATGAATTCTATCAATTGAGAGATGTATGTGTGATGAGAGATGAGAAAGTGATGATCATGAAGAAGTACTTGTCGACAATTTAGACATTGTTTCACCTTTCACTATTATAGTTGCAAACAAATACCAATGTTGTCGAAAGCAAATGAAAATGCACACAACCACTGTGAGCATGAAATGAATGTGGGATTTGGTTCAATTAAGATGGGTTCTAAAATAACTAAAAACCCGTGAAAACAAACCAAAATAATCGGTGCATATTAGTCAATTCTCGTAGATTTTATGAGATATTTATTCAAAAATCTATTTTAACATGAAATATTATTTTTTTTTAAACCCATATATGACATTTTGGAAAAAAATATATTTAAAACTTCCACTTGTCATTTTCTAAATGGTTCTTAATTTGTTAAATTTTTATAAGAACCAATAAGAAAATGACAAGTAGGAGTTTTTGGTTTTTCTCTCTAAAAAAGCCTTATATGGACTTTTGTATAATCTATCATGTTAGAATGGGCTTATTTGTGGAAAGCCCGTATATTATTCCCATGCCTAATACAATTACTCAAATTTTATCTTAGTTACATGGATTTTTTTTTTTGGTTGCCAAAGTTAGAAATGGATATGGGGTTTTATGACATACACACTACTAAGATGTCATGGGAGTTCAAATCTAAGACCACTCAATCCCAAGTCCAAGAGACATGGTCAAGGTTTTAGGTCACGAATACAAGTCTACTATCCCAATATTAAGTTTGGGTCAGAGGTCCAAATTATAGGGTCTCATATAGGAACCCCAAGCCTATGTTTAGGGTCATTTGTTCCAAAATTTGGCATTTTGAGTGAGGGTATACAGTTCAAGTCCAAGGTCAAGGTATGAGGCTCGTTTGGTGGCTTGACTTTAAATATATTGGAGTTGAGTTAAAGTGAATACTTATGAGTCACACCCATTTATATGAGATTTGTAATACATAATATGTTATATTGTTGTCCAATATAATAAGACCAGTCCCGACATAACAAACAACAATTGAAATAGTCCAATCTAGTTTGACCTACCAAATGTGTTAGGGCCTCGATTCTAGATACTTGGTGTCCTAGTCATAACTTTTGTACAACTCTCCCAAATGAGCCACTTGTTTACTTTTTAGAAAGCTCTCTCAATAGTGTGAAACTTAATTAAGTCAACTTAATTAATTTATCATTAATTTCATAATTTATAGTAGATAGTTACACATGCTTCTATGTTTTTTTTTCGCTTTTTGTTTCTCAAGCGTTCAACTAGTAACTTAATATGACACTAATCACTTAGTTGGGCATACTCCATACTATAATCTCATGATATGAATCTTTTATTTTTTAAGCCATCACTGAGTCACTCATTTAAATTGTGACTCAAATAAATAAACGAAGATAGTGTTTTTGCGACAATAAAATATTTACCATCATAATTACATGCCTAAACAATTTTTTATTTGAATAAAACAACGCATGAATGAAGAGTTTAAAATTTTTGACAAAAAAAAGAGTTAAAAAAAAAATAATCACTATTCGTGTACCCAAAAAAATAAAAATAAACTGCTAAATGAATCCTTAACTTAACTGGGTACACCCTATGATCTAAATACACCATAATATTTTAATTCAAATGTGAAATTAACTCATTACACCCTATTTAACTTCCAAAAATACCCATGGTACACCCTAATGCACTTTATCACAAACACCAAACCCGCCTTGCTGCCAAACTTGCTGCTTAACCCACCAAAGCCGCTGAGGTTGATTTTGTCAAACAACTGTGGAAGAACAGGCAGAGGTGAGGGTGGAGGATGCTAGGATTGCTGTCCTATTTGGTTTGGAATGCTTTGCTTGGTTTTGTGCTAGTGAGATTGTAGGTCAAGGATTTACATGTTAATGCATACCATGTCTAGGTTATGGGCTTGGTCTAATTAGTTGATTTTGTTTTCTATATTTAGCTTCCTTGTTATCATAGAGATGAAACTCAGAAGATCGAATTTATTAACCCATCAACTAGAAGGAAGATATATAAGTTAAGACTAGTAAAATATTGTATATTCCTTAAATTATGTGGTTCCTAAATGCCTTTATCATTTTTGGTGAAAGTAAATAAATAAATGCCAAAAAGGAACCAAAGAAAATTTTGATGGCATATCTCGCAGGGTTGTGATCAACTTCTTATGAGCCAGTCTTTGGGGTTGACATGGTTGTTGCCAGTGGTGCGGCTTCTATTACTGCATTTGCCAGATCCATTATAAACGAAGGAGTACAGCCAAGGGCGGCACTCGGCCCCAATTCTCAATGCCCTGGGGTTTATACCATGAGTTTATATCCATTGACTTAATATAGCCTTCACGTAGTTTATAATAGAAACAAGCATCCTTGATAAGTAAGCATCCTTCCTGCAAGATTGAATATTAGTTGTAAAAACGAGAAGCAAAAGAAAAAAAATCATTCCTTAATGTGGCTAGAGAGGATTGGAGAGGATTGATGAGAGCGATTTTGTAATAGCTCAGTAAATATCACATCATCTTACCTTGATTTCAAGATTCATTTTCGAGCATTTAGACAAGGAAGGTTGAATATAGTACTTATTAAAATTATTTGTTTGCCAATTCAATATATCCTTTTTAATCATTTTATATTAGGGTAAATTAGTAATTCAATAAATACTTTAGTAGTAGGGTGTACTTAGTTAATTTTAGGGTTTGTTTAGAAGCACTAAAAAAAAAAAACCTTTGAATATGCATCAACTAATTAGCACTATACCCAAAGTTAGCTCTTCAATTTTTGTTTAACAAAAAAATAATAATTCAATATTATGAATCACATTCAAAACCTGGTAAGCTGATACCGCGATAATTAGATACGCAGCGCGCGCTGTTATCTTCAGTCTTCATTTCCTCATCCAAAACCTCTGAAAAACCACAAAAGCCATGAGAGCAACCGCTCTCTTCCTCTCTCCACCACCACTCTCCACACGCACCCCTCTCCTCCTCCTCCACTCTCCGCACCCCCTCCTCCCCTTCCTCTCCCTCAAGCCCACACCCC